GGCAAACACACTCCAGTCTCTAATGACATTCAGGTATCTGCAAATGCTTTCCTTGTGTTCCCATAAAAGCAAATAGGGAACTGAATTTGAAAACCAAAATAAGGCTAGTAAATTCTTGAAAAGAGACAGTTCTTTTTCCTTGGAGACAAACCAAATTATGCATTTGCTTCTCTCACCAACAACATACTCTGGCTCAAACATTTTTAAAAGAAGGCTGCTGAACATCTGCTGAGCAATTAATGGGATGCAGCAGCATGTTGTAATGGTCCCTGGGAAGGTATTAGCAATCCTGCTTATGAGACATGAAATGTTGCTAACAATGGTTCTTCCTTTTTTTTTTCCTTTGAATTTTTATTTTCCCCGGCCTACAGGGGGGATGAGAGAAAGAGAAATAGAGCTGAGGCGGAAGTTCTGCATCTAATACTCCTCCCCACTGTTTCTCTCTCTCTTTTTTTTTTCAGGCTTCCTTCTCCTTCTCTTCCTAGCCACCCAAATATTAACGTGTTAATTTCAACCTAATAAAAGCAATTGTGGTGGCTCATGCCTGTAATCCCAGCACTTTGGGAGGCTGAGGCAGACAGACCACTTGAGCTCAGGAGTTCGAGACCAGCCTGGGCAACATGGTGAAACCCTGTCTCTACCAAAAACACAAAAAATCTTAGCCAGGCATCGTGGCGTGAATCTATGGTCCCAGCTACTTGGGAGGCTGAGGAGGGAGGATGGCTTGAGCCCAGGGGACAGACGTTGCAGTGAGCCGAGATCACACCACTGCACTCCAGCCTGGGGGACTGGGTGAGACCCCATCTCAAAAAAAAAAAAAAAAAGAAACAAAACTGTGGTAAGTGTCTCAGCCCACTGATACCCTACCAAAGTGCCAAGCTTTCCATGAGTGAAAGGGGAATTCCCTGCACTGTTTTTTGTATATGTAGGGTCTACTACCCTATTCAAATAGTTTTGTTTCTTTTTTTCTTTTAATCAGGTAGCTAGAGGTAACTTAGGAGCAATCACCAACAGGAAACAGATCCCAGATCCCTCACATATTTTACTTTCTTATCACAATTGTTGTTGCAGTTGACAGGTTTATCTTTTGCATATGAAAATCGAGCCCTGAGTGACTGTGTTCCTGTGGACCCTGACACCTCTAATGCGTTATGACCAGCATAGCCAAACTTAGTATAGCAACAGTTTCCAAGACAAAGTTTCCAGTTTTTCCATTAACCCAGGAAACTATCTTTGTTTACTTACCAAACTGGAGCTAATTTTCCACATATAAATCTATATGTACTCCAGTTGCTGAACTAGCCATGACAGCAAACTCAATAATGCCAGTTGATCCGGTTTGGAATTACATAGCCAAAAGACCCTACTATCAAAACTAACAGGAAAGATTTCTACAATGGTTGGAAGTCAAATAATTTTCTCACTCTCTCGAAATTGGTCCAGGCTAAGATTGGGCTTTTACTTGGAAATGGACTTTTTTTTTTTTCCTTTGGTGACTTTGTGTTACACACACCTATATTGCAAGGGGTTCTTCTTCATATCTCAGTGTGCATATCTGGGTCCCCAAATTATACCTCCCTTTTGCCAGTCCTTCTTCTCAGGAATCTCAGTCCTGCTGCCGAAACTCCTAGTTATATAATAAACTACAAACATGAATTGAAAACATTTTTCAGTTCTTCCAACTTTGCATTATCTTTTGCAATCTGGAGTTTTTACCAGTGGGATTAACGTCTCATGATTATCAGGAATTGACTTCCTTTCCCACAGGGAGCTATAAATCCAAGGACCTTTGGATGCCTTTGCTGTATTCAGTTTCTCTGGCCAAGCCTACTGGCCAAACCAGTCTCAGCTAATTACCCACTTTTTGATCTCAATATTTCAGCTTGATCCCAGCTCTAAACCATTTGTCACTGAAGAAAGTGTTCTTAAGTAACATTTAAAATAAGATTTCCTTTTTTTTTTTTTTACAACCCACTTCTCCCTAAAGTTAAATATGGTAACATATCAATCTTTTAAATTGTTTTAAATTCGCACATAACAATTATACATATTCATGGGGTACATAGTGATGCTGAGATACATAAGCACAGTGATCAGATCGGGGTAATTAACACATCCATCATCTCAATCATTTATCATTTCTTTGTGGCGGGAACATTCACTATCTTCCAAAACTATCTGAACCATCATTAGAGCATAATGCAATAATCGTTAAATAAAAACCAGACACAGATGGAAGAGAAGTATGGAAGGAAGAAAAAGAGTGAAATGTGAGTGGCCTCCAGAATTGAAGAATGGGAGAAGTAGGGTTAGTTCCAGGCCTAGCTTGACCTCCAATGCTCTCCTGTTCAACAGAGGGAGGCACTGTTTTCTGATACACCAAGCCTAAAGACAGTGTTCATTCAAAGGCTGCTTATGCTGTAAAAGCAAATTTTGCATCACGAAGGACAGAAAAGTTGGCCACATCCCTTCAAACCCAGACCTCAGTATGGCTTAGTTGTTTTAATTTCTAAACTCAAAGGGAACAAGTAGTGGCTGATGAAGTTCAGTCAGCTACCTAAACAGGCTCGAGGGTCTGATTAGATTAAATAAATCAGTGAATCTTTTTAAACCGATGTTCAATGGTTACTTTCTATTCAGTTGACAACATCTGTCAGTGGCTCGGCTATCAGGATGACTATACCTCTTGTTTCTGGAATCATTCTCCCATACAACTAGTCACGTGTGCCTCTGCCATGTGCTAACCCCACTCACCAAACACCAAAGCTCAACATTCTGGTAGGAAAGGGCCAGTCAAGACCATCAAATGCCCTAAGTTGGTCTTTTCTTCAGATAATTTTCACCAGCATATGATTCAGAAAGCGGCTTTGACCAACAATAGTAGTTTATGAGGGCAGAGACTCTGTCCCCAGTGTTGACAACATTGCTTGGCTCAGTGTAGGCAGGTACTCAGTAAGTGTCTGTTCAACGGATGTGTTAGGATGACAAGATGCAGAATAGGAAATGAGCCCTACTCAATCCTCCTGCTCCTTACAGTCATCTTTTTCAAGGGATGCTCTGAATCGTCATACTTCTGTTCAAAGGTCTCGATGGCTTCCCAGACCTTTGATGGCTTACTCGCTAAAGTAAGTAAAAACGGCGCACCCTGGCACGTTTTCACCCTCCACACCTCCATATCCCATGCTGAGTAACAGTGACTTTAAATAGTGGGATTGAAAAAACAACAAGAACAATAAAATCTTCCATGACATCCAATAAAGAAAAAATATAAAATCCAAGAGGGTGAGAGGTCAGTGGTCAGCCTGCTTGGCCTTCTGCTAGACCTAGCAGTGCCTCGTGAAATCTCCAGGAAACCAGAGAATGGTGCTGGTAATAGCTACTTTTTAATCCTCATTTATTTATTCAGCATGCCCAGAGCCCTTTAGGCTTTACTTCCTTGGTGCTTAGAATGACCTCCTGCATTTAATCCTATCCATCCTTTAAGGTTCTTCCTTGAAACCACTACTCCATGAAACAATACTGTATCATTTTGACAGGATATAACTCATCTCTGCTTTAAATTTCCTATACAGCTTTAGTTGCTAATAACAATAAAAATGAATTTTAAAGCTATCTTTCAGACACTACCTAAGTGCGTTACCTGAATTAACTTAGTCTTCACACAATCCCACTGGCAGAGATGCTATTACCATCTCTGAGACACACAGAAGTTAAATGTCTTTCCCAGGATTACATAGTCAGTAACAAAGCCAAGATTGAAACCAATGTTCTGACTGGAAAAAAAGAATCCAAGTGCTTAAATATGTTACATAGTCTCTCTCTATATAAGCATGTATGCAATTTGCTCATTGACTACTCTCCGCTGCCTGTTCTTCCCATCCCACAGTACCACTGCCATTGCTACACCGAACTTCCCCACACCACAACCAGGTTATAAGTTCTATGAAGACGAAGACCACTTTTCACAGGTGTTTGTACTCCATGGAGCACCAGCATGGTACTCTGCAAAAAAAAGTACTCAATAAACATTGTTAATTTATTATTAATATATCACAACAATATCTGTTCCTAAGTGCTTGTGTTATCATTGAAAACTATTCAAAGCTACTTGTGTTATCATCTATTCTAAGTTACTTGTGTTGTCACTGAAAACTCTCCATCAGCTTAGAAGGAGGATCCACCATCCTCACCACCACCTTTTCAGGTGAAGAGATGGAAGCTCAATGACATTAAGTAAATTGTAAGATCCTGACCAATTCCAGGTTCAGTTCCTGGGTATGGCCCTGTACCACTCCTAAGTTCCTGCTATCTCTACTGCGTTACATTATCCTGAAACTTAACGAAAGCAAATTATTTGTAATTATGAATATGTTGAAAATAAGACTTTGCAGAAAGACCCCCACAAATGTATTTGTTAATGTTATTTTCAAGATTTCTGATGAGATAAATGAAGCATGCTTTCATGTGAGATGTATCTAAGCGGTTCTCTGACAGTTTTTGCCAGAGACTAAGTATAAAATACTACCTTCTCACTGGGTCACCCAAGTTGGAGTGCAGTGGCGTGATCTCGGCTCACTGCAGCCTCTGCCTCCCAGGTTCAAGCGATTCTCCTGCCTCAGCCTCTCAAGGAGCTGGGACTACAGGCATGTGCCACCACGCCTGGCTATATTTTGTATTTTTAGTACAGATGGGGTTTTACCATGTTGGTCAGACTGATCTCAAACACCTGACCTCAAGTGATTCACCCACCTCAGTCTCCCAAAGTGCTGGGATCACAGGCGTGAGCCACTGAGCCCAGCCAAAAGTGTCACCTTTCTCTGTTGTTTAACTGGTTCTCCATTGAGGCAGAAACACCAAGCAAGACAACGTTCAAGATCTGATGACTGATCTGATTTCTGACTAGCACTGTTACCATCTAGCCTTTTTATGAGGAAGGAAGCACAGACTGGGATTCCCTTTGCCAGAGCCACCAGCCAGAACCCAGGGACATGGACACTGACCTGCTGTTAAGTGAGCAGCGTGGACGAAGACTCGGACTCCTGGCTTCAGCTCGAAGTGTACTGAGTTCTGGTTGAGCTTGTGGATCAGCAATTCTGATATCTGAAAAAAGAAGCATAGTTAGTGCCACCAAAAGTGTTACACAGATTATAAACAAATAAGCTTAGAAATATTTACTATTTTCACTAAGGCATCACAATATTATACCCATGAGTTATATAAATAAGGTTTATATTAATTCCAAAATATGCAGATACAATTATTTTTAAGCATGACCTGTCTTTACGTGCTAATTGCTACAAAATAGGAGAAACTGTTAGTGAATGAAAATAATTATACTCTTTAAAAATTATTCTGAATGATCTTAGAAAATTTACCCCTAGTCTTTTGAGAGAACATTTGTTATGCATAAGGACTTAAAAGAAGTATATACAATTTACACATTCTGATAAGATTCATATATATTCATTTTACTTCCATTCTATTTCCCAAACCATGTGATTTTCACAAAACACTTTATGAATATTTATTGTATGGTAAATATAGTTCTGCTAAAATGTACAATTGAAACAAAGTACAGCTATAATGTAAGTAACAAATTGGCTAACCTTTATTTCATGCTTATAAATATTATCTAAACTGTACCTCAGGCTGATAACACGGGTACTGGGCAGACCCATGGAAGTCTGGACTACGAAATATTTAACCCCAAGCATGGGACAAATAACTTCATTTGGGTAGAAATAGTGTAAGGTAAGGTTTTATGGATGAGGTAAACCTGTTCGTCTGTTTAGAGTAGAAAACCTAGCTCCATTTGCTGTTCCCTTTATAATTTTGAGGAATTTCTGAAAAGTTACGGGGATAACAACATCCCTATTATTTTATTATTATTATTTGAGACAGAGTGTCACTCTGTCACCAGGCTAGAGTGCAGTGGCACAATCTTGGCTCACTGCAACCTCTGCCTCCCGGGTTCAAGTGATTCTCCTGCCTCAGCCTCCTGAGTAGCTGGGACTACAGGCGTAAGCCAACACACCCAGCTAATTTTTGTATTTTTAGTAGAGACGGGATTTCACCATGTTGGCCAGGATGGTCTTGATCTCTTGACCTTGTGATTAGCCCGCCTCAGCCTCCCAAAGTGCTAGGATTACAGGTGTGAGCCACCGCGCCCGGCCCACTCCTACTATTTTTATCTGGTCTGCTAGCCTTATTTTTAATATTCTAACAATCAATTTACTATTTTACTTAACATGTTACTTAAGTCTAATTAGATGCTTTCTGACCATCATTCTGCTAATTTAATTCTTAATTTTTTCCCTTTTCTATTTGTTGAGTTTTATTTACTCCAGTGAGTTGCCAAAATAACACCTTTAATCCCTTTATTTGTTAAGCAGGGCCTGATGGCTTAGTTTGGAAGCAGAGAGTCACCTGCAGAAGCCACTGATTGGTGATAGAACTGAACTGCCCCACAGATAAACTTCTCTCCTGAACAACAGGAACAGAGGATGACCATCACTGCCCAGTTGTTGAGCATCTGGGATTCAGTGCAAACCTAGCCTTTCAAATGTTATAATTTAGCAAACAATGCAGAAAAACAAGATTGTGAAAAAACTATGCTGAAAACAAAAACAACTTTATTCTGTATATTAGGCTACTTCCTTTCTTGGGTGCTGGGAATCATCCAGAACGATCCAGGTGTACAGAAGTGGATTTCTGGCCAGGCACGGTGGCTCACTTTGGGAGGCTGAGGTGGGTGGATCACTTGAGTTCAGGAGTTCGAGACCAGCATGGGCAACATGGTGAAACCCCGTCTCTACTAAAACTACAAAAAATTAGCCAGGCATGGTGGTGCACACCT